TTTTATGAATCTAAATTTTATTCCCTTATCATCAAGTTTTGTTCTAAGTAAATCAGGTACCCTAGCATATGTTATACATCCAAAAACTTTCATATTTATTACATTTGGTTTCTTACTTATCCACAGCTCATAAGGAATTTTATCTTTAAAATAACAAGATTGTGTACGATTAGTTATACAGTGAGCACCATAAGTCTTACCCCCTATCTAACTCGTTACTGGAGTCTTGTTAGGAAAATCGCTGAGACACGTCGATTTTTGATTTCTACAATGTACATTTTTGTACAAATAGTTTACGCTTAATTTCATCCCTTACTGGAGGGGAGCAACCCTTTCGAAAATTTTAAATGGCATGGGGTGGTGAGTGATAGCTTATTTGAAAGAGGGTTTTATTCTCTATTCAACCGTGTAAAAAAAATTGAAATTTGCTTCATTAATTCTCGACTAATTGTTGTTTCAGAATAACGGAAATTAACGTAGCGCACTCATCCTTAGAATTAAAATTCGGCTCTGCATGATTTCGGTTTTAGTTAAGACGTGAAGTAAGACTTTTTGCCATTAGAAGGTCACTGTTAGTATAGTTGCTTTTCTATTTTGTGAGGTTTTGTTATTTTTAAACATTAATAAATCATGCTCACTGTATATGCTGCAGTAAATACTGCTTCTTCCCAAAATACCTTACTTATATTTGCTTGAACAATCATAGTTCTCGCTTTATTCATCAATGTCTGATTCATGCGTTCTGCAACTCCGTTCATCCGGGGAGTGTATATAAAATATCAATACCTTTTTGCAAAGAGACATTTTTGAATTCTAGAGAGGAATACTCACCACCATTATCACATTGAAGTTTTGCTATCTTTTTACCACAGAACAAAAGTTACAAAATAATGTATATTATTGTGCGGAATAGAAGCAATTGGCCCACATACATCTGTATGAATTAACTCTAAAATTATATTTGACCTATTTAATTTTGAATGGTAGGGTAAACATTTTTGCTTGGACTTTGCACGTATTTCACACACATTTTCCTTATTATTATTTTTCACACATTCCACTTACTAGATTATTTGAATCGGTGAGTGAAAGAACAATACATATCCAAAATGACCATTTTGAGAAAAACAAAAAAAAAACTATTTTAAAGGAGAACTATGGGTTATTCGGCATAATTATGTATTGTGAAGTTATAGAATTTTTGTTAACCGATAATAATATGTACATAAATTTAAAAATAAAATTATGCAAAATATGATATTTAAAAAAAATGACTTGCAGTTAACTCAATTTAAAAAAAAATGCTTTAATTTTTTTTGTAGCTTTATTGATTATTATTTAACAAACTTATTTGTAATTTTTTAATCAGAATCTTCATTTTTGACTTTCCAAGAAATAATATATGGTAGTAAAACTCTAGGATTTCATCACTAAAGTAGAATAAAAGTATCTTTATATTGGCTATCTTCTTTACATTAATAGGGACAACTTCTGAATATGCCTTTTCTAATGGCGAGCATACACGTAACGGTCTACCGGAAAAGCCTACCTGTGCAGGTATGCCTGCGCAGGTCGGCTCTATGTCGTAGCGTGCGTGTCTACCTGTGCAGGCACACCTGCACAGACAGACCGTAGCGTGTATGCCCGCCATAAGGGTAACTGCAGATTGACATTAGGTTTGATATCAGTCTAATTCGCCCCACACATAAAAGTGTGCGAGAGGAAACCGCCTATGAAGGCACTTGTAGTAACATATCCAGAAGTTTTACCAGTGTATGTAAACTGGCTGTACTGTGGAATGACAAAATTAGCTTTTTGTTCATCAGCTGATTTAGAGGTTTTTTATGAAAGTGCGACCACCAGTTTTTGAAATCTGTGTTAAATTTGTCTACGAAACGACATGGCTACTGAGTGAAAAAACACTACATGCGCCGTACTTGTACTGTTCTTTCACTCAACCGAAAATTGAACAAGCCCCCATCGCTCGTATGATGTTGGTCTGTGTATTATTCTTTCGCTATGTGATAGGCCTATGAATTTTAAACAATTTGCCTATCTCAGTTAAAATTACCGTTTTTGGCACTTGTACTGTTCTTTCACTCACCGATTCATTTATTTTCCTCAAAATTATGATGGCCATATTTTTTATGCCAAATCTTACTATCATTTTTAGCTAACATAGCGCTGCTGGTATTATCATTATAATTTATTTGAAATAATATTTTATATAAATTTCCCTCCTTTTTACTTTGAGCATAAACCTTTTAATTCTTTTTAATTGAAATAATACCACTAGCACATGTTATCTCAAAATCTGCCTTTTTTATACTAGAAACGCTTAACAAATTTACTCTTTAATCTGGAACACAATATACATTTTTTTAAATAACAAATATATTTTCATTTTCTAAAACACTCACTACCTTGATGTCACCACAGCAGGTGGCAACTATATCCTTTCCTTTCTCAGCTAGTTGAATTTTCTTAGGTTCATCAAAGTAGCTTTTATTTATTAAAACGTTTTTATTAATATAATGGTGTGTAGCACCAGAATCTACATACCAGTACAAACTGTCAATTTTCTCACCACTATCTATTGAACAAAATGCAACATCTACGTCTTGGTTTATTTCATTGCCTCCACTATCTTCTTTTGAATAATGTGCTCTACCGCTAATACTTTCATTTCTGTTAAATGATATATGTTTGCAGTCTGATGCTTGATGACCTAATTTATATAACCTTTAACACCACAAACATTTTGTAAATAACCAATTTTTTAACACTTATAACATTTAACATTATTTGTTTTTGCAATAAATGATGCAGACACACTGGATATATTTTTACCGTCATTTTTGTCACTTAAATTCAAAGACCCACTTTTTAACAGTTTCCAAACTCAAAATATCTCAAGATACAGTTTTTATTGCCGTGATAATGTTTTCATATTCTTTTGGCATTGATAAAAGTAGAAAACATGCCATATCTGACTCACCAAAACTTGCTCTCTGTGAATTTTATCATATTTTGTAAAATGTTGTTGAAGATTATTGAAACAGTTATATTTTAAATGCATTAGGTCTTTCAATAAATAAAATTTTGATGAAATTCCCTTCTTTGCAAATACTGCCTCCAGTTTTATAAACATTTCTCTTGCGTTTTCTATATCTTTCACATACTCCAGGTGCGAATCTGCTACACTCTGTACTATTATATTTCTTGCTTTATTATTAATTTTCATCCATTTTTCATCTTCTAAAACGTTTTGGACTTCAAGTGCTTTTAATACTGACTCAACTCGAAATTTCCAATTATCAAAATTGCTTCCCTTGAATGGGATTATTCCATATTTATTTTCATTGCCCTCAGCCATCGTTATTGCTTTTATTATACTTCTCCAAATAAAAAAAAAAACTTGCACCGCCGACATGTGCCACGCCTTCTCTTAACCCTTCTTTTTATTTTTCTTTATCTTGCTTCACCAATCACCAAAGCTCATCTGAGTCCATAACCTAAGTTAGAGAAAATAATGTGGAAATAGTTTGGTGAAAGGTTTTTATTAAGGAATAACTATTTGAACAAACGATGCTAAAATTAAAATAGCAACTCAGGTTAGGTGCGCACATTCGTTGGTTAATTTACCGGAAGTACTTACATTGTCACTGTCCTTGACAGACGAAAATACAGGTACTCATCTTTATAAAACAAAAGTAACTAATTCAGACAGGCTTGCCAACTATAATAGATACGGGTATTTTAATTAAACATGTAAAGATAATAAATACCTAACTGTAAAAGTATCAATATTAGAAAAAAATGTTAAAGTTGCATTTTCTAAATCGAGCTAGCATACGATTTCAGTTAAATTCGTATATGTTCATCAGATCGTTTTATTAAGGTGTATATGGACCTCCGGAAAAAGATTCTACACGTTTCAAATTTTTGAAAAAATATTTAAATACATTGACCACGAAACATTAATACATTTTTTATAAATTTAGTGAGAAATTAAATTAAACAACATTATTTTGAATTCCCACTTTAAAAGTCTTATCTCTGAGAGGTGCTGCCATCTTAACATTGTTTTTCTTCTAACCCTTTTACAGAGACTTGTTAGGTCCTAATGTCAAGAGTAGGGCCCTCATACAGTTAAGGGCTACGAAGCCAAGTTCAAGGCAATAGAGTATTTATATGATTAAGGCTCTATTGATATAATTATTGCATGGTCACCCCTTAATTCATTGATTTTGACATTTTTTTGTTTATAGTTTATTTATTTAAAATACTTTATTTATAACATACTAATTAATTTATATAATACTTAGACACTATTACAACTTACAATTCTAATTTATTTATTACAATTTGTCTTTACTATCCAGCATTTAATTTAAAACTTGACGGTTGTCGACAAGTGAAATGTAACATTCTCGAACTCTGACTAGAAGCTCATTCTAGAAGTTCCAGGAGTTATTCTCCACGTGTCAGACTGCAATGAAAAACATTCGATTCTGTTTCTCGAGTCTCGGGATGGGCCTCGATGTGGCCAGCGCTAAACTTCCTGACGTGGATACGGTAATAAAGAACAGGGTTGGCTTTGCCTCACAATAGGGTTTGAAAAATAGTATTCTGTATTTAAATTCAAATATTTTTATTATAATATATGTATATTGAATTTGTATTATATGTAAATGAATTTGTATACACTGTATATGAATTTCTAACATACTGGCACATCAGAGAACGATATAGAAAGTTGAAGGCTGTATGAGGATTTTGAAGGAAGTAAAAAGGATGTCTGAGAATTACCGAGGATGTATGAAGGATTTCTGAGAATCTATGAAGGATTTCCGCGGATGTATAGGGATTTCCTAAGATATATAAGGATTTATTTCTACCAAAAGCATGTAGGTCAGTGGTTTACCCCTCAGTTAACATACTAATGCAAGTAATATGGTAACTACAGTTTTATATAAAGAATGGATATGTGTTTACAGGACCTGAGCAGAATCGTCCTGAAAACTTTGCAGTAGAACTGCAAAATATTTCTTTTAAAGAGGCGCTAGTTTCATTTCTAATGGAACATTGGAGTACTGATGAAGTTGCAAATGAATTCGGGGATAAAGAAATCTACGTATCTTTTGATAAATGTTTCAGGTATTATTATATTGATTATTGTGTGGTAGTAGGACCCCGAACGGCTTTTTTATTTATCTTTATGTTATAGGTATACAGCATCGAATGGAATTGTTTTTCTTCGAAATATGAACGATTACAAATGCGAAGGGCATGAGGACGCCGTTACAAAATTTGCGTTTTACGTAGGTAAACTACACGGATTCAGTAACGTTGTTATCTCCTGCGCAGATACAGACATATTGATTATTATATTAGGAAATATGCACAAATTCGATCAATCGATGAAAATTTGGCTACAATTTGGAACAGAAAATAACCAAAGATTTATAAACGCTTCAGAATTACACAATAAATTAGGTCATAAGCTCTGCACCTCGTTGCCAGCCTTTCACGCGTTCACTGGATGTGATTATAATCCAGCATTCAACGGAAAAGGTAAAAATATGGCGCTTCATCTGTTAATGCAGAATGAAAAATATCAAACTGCTTTTACGGATATGTCTGATCCTGAAAAATTCAATGAAGCAAGAATAATAGTTGAAGATTTCGTATGTAAAATGTATGCGACTCGTATAAACGGCTTGAAAGGAATATGTTCTGTAGATGAAGCGCGTTTACAATTAATATTTTCGATGAATTATTCAATGATGGACAATATGGAGACGTTCAAACGAAAAGTATTGAAATTCGATGCTTCTTTGCTGCCCCCCTGTACTCGAGAATTAGAGCAACACATGTTGCGAACATTGTACATATCAAATTTGTGGGCGAATGCTACATTAGCGGTTCCTTCAATCTTAGATTTTCAAAACTATGGATGGGTGAAAACAGATCGTCTTGAATTCAAATGGTTCGAAGGCCCTGAAATGCCAGAGTTAGCAACAGATATCATTATCCAACCACAAGAAGAAGGTATGATCGACAATACTTATTTGTAATTGTTTTCATGATCTGAAATTATTTTTTTCAATCATATTTTCAGAAGGTGGTATAAATAACGAAAGTTATCATTCAGAATGCGATGAGGATCTTGAGGATGACGACGACGATAGTGATAACGATGTCGATGACGATGCAAACGATAACAATGATGACGGTGGCGAGGATACTTAGTTTTTACAAAGAATATCTACTAGGGTAGGCCGATCTATACGGGAAAAAAATAAAGTGCGGGATCTCAATTAGCCTGGGTGTTAAAAAGTTGTCACTTCTGTTGTTGATTATTCATGCAAAATTTCGGCTGTGACAAATGTCGTCTTCAGGTGCCTAGTTCCCCTCAATTTTCCCACGAAGCATGATACTGAAATGTGATTGAAATATGCAGCTCTTCGCTTATTTTACTAATCAAAAACACAGTTTTAATGAATGAAATAACCCAGAACTCACCACGTGGAGGTGGCTGCATGACGAGTTCCTCCCTACCTTCATATTTTCAAGAAAATTGCGAATTTATTGATCTAAAGCCTTTAGAAATTGCTGTTTTGTCTCAGTTTTCTGAATTTTTTTTCTGGAGGCAATCCTAGTTCGAATCAAGCCATCTCTGGATTCTGTTCCGCTTACTAAACCAGAGGCTTTAGTGACTGTTCTGATACATCTCTCAACAGCTTGAGTATGACAAGGGTATTTTGAAATTTCAATGTTGTCAGGAACTCTCACAATCATTTCTTACAAGACATCATCTGATACTTTTCTTGTAAGTGGTGGTTCAGTTACGCTAACTGACTGCCAGTTTATCAATTCCGTGTAGTCTTGAACATCAAAATTCAGTTTGGGGACTTTAAATTGTCTAATGTTTCTATTTTGAAGACCATTTGTCCTGCATTTTAGAATTCTTCTCAGCGCAAGTTCTCTCATAGGCTTTCGGTCATCTGTAAGCATTGACAATAAAATATTTTCTGGATGGGCAAAAAATTCCTATGACAGGATCAATCATATCTTTAACTGCAGCCGGTAGATATCTCGATCTTCTTATCAGAGAGAATAAATGCCTGGAATCTTCAGTACAAGATGATCTCACTTTAATAACAAACCAAACAGGAGCATAAACTTTCAATGTAAATTCCGTTATTGTTTTCAATTCGTTTGAAGGCTGTTCAGAAGCTACATAAAGTCTCAAGATCCTATTTGCCGTTGTCAGTCTTGCATGTGCCATTTTTCCCGGATCACGCTTTGATAAATTTGATTGGTACTGGTGTCATTTAGGTCGAATTCCGGTAGTTCGCCATCAATTTTTTCGAACTTTACTACTGGAAGGTTCTGACATGTTGGAAGAAGCTTTCCAATCGGGCCTGAGAATCCTTTCGGGTCGCTAGTTTTACCATCCATTTTCTCAATCAAATGGCGAAGTGGAAGTTCATTGGCATGCAGTAGGCAAATCAGCCATTGTAACGAGTGTCCAATAGCTTCTTCCAATTGCTTAACAACTCCGTTCCTGAAGCCTGTATTCACGACAGTTCCGTCGCAGCAGAAATTTCGTCAACAGGTCTCAGGTTACCTCTTAAAAAATCCATAATACTTGACGTTATGTCTTTAATATTGCCAGAATTAGGATTTGCATGCCCAAGATAAATAGATCCAGGTTCTGCAAAAAGAACAATGTGTTCCTCCAAAACGTACCGTTTATGATAAGTGCTTCCTTTTTTCTCCGTCAGTAGTATTCTATCCTTTCTACCATCAAAGTAGAGCCCTGTAATTACCAAATTTCTCGTTGATTCCTTTTTTTATCTCAGATCTTCGTCTCTTTCGTTCTCTCCTCAATTTACTACGGTTTAAAAGTTTTGAAAGGTCGTTCCTACTGACAACGCCGAGATCTTGCAAGATGGCATTCGCCAAAAAGGAAGCATATCGGAAACTCCAGTTCGATCGCAAGCCTCTGCCAAATTTCTAAAATCCACTCCTTGAAGGTCTGTTTGTCTTGCTTTTGAAGTTGATGGACCATCTATTTGAAAATTAATCTCGCTTGTTGACGAACTTTCAGACAGAGACATATTTTCTTCTACCTGCGAGGAAGTTGCATTTAGAACAGTAACTTTTCCTACAAGCTCCGATTTCTCTGGATCGCTTTGGTCCCCTAGCTGCTTTATCGATTAGATCTTTCTTTGCATACGTTTTTGTAAAACTTTTGTCAATTTAACGTCAACGTTTCCAATAAATATTCTTCTTTCAGTTCATTGGTCTTTTAAAAATTCTTGTTCAGTTTTAAGCACTTTAATTTTGCATTTGCAGGAGTCAAAATCTTTACACATGCACGTCGATATATCAAAAAGTTTTTCACTTGATTCTTTACACTTTTTATTATGTACGGATCCAAGGTTTTTTTTTTCAAATTCCGAAACTTTCCGAAATAGTCCTTAATCAGTCGAGAGATCTCTTGCTCACTCACCACTTGTAAAGAAGCATTTTCCCAAATGTTTTTCAATGCAGATATAACTTTTTTAGAGACTTCACTTACACTCGGGTCTTTGCCATTATTATTGTCTTTAACTATTTGTCTGTGCCACAAATACGCTCTCATAACATCGGCGTAAGTCGGAAGAATACGATCTTAACGCGTCGACTGCGTAAAGACTAATCTTGTCGGAACAGGAAAGGCAGATTTGCGGTGGCGCGGTTGCCGGGGTTTACGAAATATTGGAGATAGCTGCTCGACGTTGCTTGTGGATTTGGATCGTTGAGCTCAGTTGAATACTTTTTGACGAATGTGTTAACGGGTTTTATACTACCTAAATCTATTCCAATCTAAAATACCCTAATTTACACTATTCTAATTTATTCTATTTGCTAGCCTATCTTATTCTAAACTACTCTAAACTAGACTAAACTACACTATTCTAAACTATTCTACACTTAACTATTTACATTATTCTACTTCTATTTAATTTTAACTTACCCTAAGCTACTCTAATTACTAAACTAATCTATTACTTACCTATTCTACTATAACCTATGCTAATATCTTTAGTTATCTTTTGATTTAAGAGTGTGCGGTATATAAATGTATACAAATCAATAAAATGGGTCCATTAAATAAATTCATAAAATATCCATTTTTATCAAACATATTTTGTAGTAAAATATAAAATAATGTTTTGTAATAGAGTATAATCTCACCTGGAGTATATTCAATAATAATTAATACCTTAATAAATAATTTATAATGTAAGTAAATATATTTCGCTACTTTGAACAATAACTCTAGCTCATTTAATTACTAAAAAGCTTTATTTTTATTGTTATTGTTTACATGTCAATTTTAACTCCTTCAGTTGTCAGATTCTTCTAAATTTATAAATAATGACCACAGTCTTACCAGAAATTATCCTATTACCCTTTTATAGTCAGGGCCTTCTTGCTAAGACATTGACTTTTGTTGGCCATTTTGTGGAACTTCCTTCCGGCCCAGTTTTTGCTTGGATTCTGATTGTGGCATGTGCCAAGATTTCAACTAGGATTTTCTAGGATTCATTCTTGTGCAAAAACCAGAGATTCCTTTAGACCGATATATTGTTAGTGATCTTTGTGATTCATACACCTAGTGGTGGATATAGTATTGGCTAAAAGTGTGAATTTAATTTAATAAATTGATAACTAAAAGGTCACATACCATCAAGGGTGAGTTTTTCAAAAGGAATTATTAGTTCACTTACCTATATTCCCAACAGCCTTCTGTATACATAATAGTTACAATCGTCAATGTTTTTCAGACCTCCTTGGTTCGCTCCTTTCATTAGTGCGTTCCTTCCTTCGCTCGCTCCGATTTACAATTCTGAGTAACGCTTTTATTAGAGGAATACTTCTAAGGACTGTGTGCAAGTTCTCTCCACCTCTCCATATAGAATAGGGCTTCTCCACTTCACCGTTTGCGTGCTAGCAACAGAGAACAGACAATTAGATAACCGAATACGAAGTAATTTTCATAGCGGTCTACCTACCGACATCAAGAGGAAGCTACCTAACTGGACATCGTCCTTCATTGAGTTCACTTAATCACAAGTAAGACGGTTCCTTTTTCTATCCCTATATTTCGGAGGGCCCCCATCTACTAACGAGATTAGGTTGTTTGAGACTCAGCCTACAACAGAGTTAAATACCGGATTAAATACTCAATTTCTTTTGTTTATACACTTATTAATTGTAATATCCACCTACCGGGTTTTCTTTTGTAATACGAAGAGTACTCTACGTAACCGCACTTTTACCACCCACTTGGAGGGTTATATTTTATAAGTGTATGTAAGTTAAAGGTAAGAATAGTTGTGGGAACGCCTTGTACATAATAATTTTCTTCTGTTCCTAATAATAGTCCACATTTCGGATACATGTAATTTGTTGGTTATAAATTTTACTTTTGACAGCGATCGAGGCATCGAGGTTATAAGATAATAAAGGCCCGTTCACATTCTATCAGTCATTTTCTTCTCTCTATTTACAGGAACCCGACCCTGAGGTTACTAGTCAACCTGATTAGGGGAGTTCGATAATTTGAACCCCTTTATCAGGATACCTGTAATAAATTTTTGAGCTTATTAGTTTCTATTTTTGATCAGCACAGCTATATAGAGATGAATCACCATATAAATAAATCACTCATTTGAATTTTATGATTTTTTTTCAAAATTTTCCCAATTTTAACCTCAAGTAGACACCTGAAGATATTATCTCAGAAAGCCCATATTTTGTAGCATAAATACTACACTGAAATGACAACTTTTGGTTACCCAGGACATACGGTATTCGAGAAAAAAATGTTTCGGCCCACCCTAATATCTACCCAAGAGGCGAAACTAAATGGGCGATTCGTACAAAAAACTGCCAAGTTTTCTCATTGTTTTAGAGGTTGTTTAACGGCAAATATAGCTGTCAATTTATGTAGAGCAACATTTGGTATATTATTATTAACGTCTTATGAAAATTGCAGTATACGAGCTCTAACAATTATATGTTCGGACGACATAAGAATATATTACATTGTCCTAAAAGTTTTATTCTGGTTCATAATAGTATATTATTAAACGAGCAATTTATGGTAGCCATTATTCACGCAGGGTGACGTTTGCGTCCCGAGCCGTAGGTGAGGGGCGCAAGTCACCCGAGTGAATAATGGCCATAAATTGCGAGTCTAATACTATACTTTGTCC